GTCTGGGCGGCAAGGCGGGGCCGGCTCCTGGCTTCTGGGGCAAGGCTGGGCGGGCCTGCCCCAGATGGCAGCGTGCTGACGGCTCGCACTGTCCCACCCTGCCTGTGGTATGCAGATTAGCCGCCATCTTAGTTGGCAGTTAATCTGCATATCATGCTGATTAGCCAATGGGAGGCATAGCGAAGGTAAGGTCAATTACCGTGTTTGTCTATTATTAAGATTATTAGTAATTACATTTAGAGCCTACTCATACAATCCAGGATAATCTTACCATTCCAATGTCTAGTGGTGGTGATTAAGTTAATAATCACATCATAAACAAGCCTTTGCTGTGTAAGCAAACATTCATAAAGGATCCAGAGGTTAGCGTGGAAACATCTTTTGAGGGCTATCATTCAGCCCACCACACCCAGCAATTCCCTTTTTAGAATTAAGGTCACAAGAAAGGTTCACCAATGAAGGAATTTCTATATAAATGTTTATCTAGCCAAGCAAAAGAACCTGTTAAAAAGGTTTAGTTGCTTGGAGTGTTGTCGCATGCACCAAGAAGGTTGTGGGTTCGATCCCTGGGCAGGGCACCTCCTCGGCCATGTGAGGACACAGCAACAAGACTACCATATCTGAACCAGGAAGCCGGCTCTCGCCAGACACCAAATCTGCTGGTGCCTTGATGTTGGACTTCCCAGCCTCCAGACTCTGAGAAATAAATTTCTGTTGTTTATAAGTCACCCAGTCTGTGGTATTCCATTATAACAGTCCAAACAGACTGAGGCAGGAGGGTAGGAATGTCCAAAATATACAAATCCACTAATTGTAATTTGCATGATCTGATCTCTATAAATAATGACCAAAGCTATGTCTTTATAAATTAAAATAAATATTACATTTGGAAACATGTTTTTTCCTAATCATTTCATTACAGTAAACAACTGCCAGATACCAAAAGAAGCATCAGTTTAGCTGCTGATTCGCCTGTTATCTTTTACTCAATTAAATGGTTCTTATTACCCACTGAAAGTGAAAAGGTAACATCAAAACTTATATAACCTGGGGAGGAATGCATCAATTTTTTTTTCTTTCATCCTCCCTCCCTTCTAATAAGCAATTTTTTTGAATGCCTACTATAGGATACACCTGGTATAGATAAACACAGTAAATGATGTTTATCTATACCAAAATCCTCATGGGAGCCCAAGTTTTGATGAGGAAAACAATAAGGTAAGTATATAGAATTTTGGTGATAATTAGGGCTATGCCATATATAAAACAAGAACGCTGGATAAAAATGTTAGAGATGGGAGCAATTTTAAACAAGGTGATTAGGGAAGGCTTTACTAAGAAGGTAACACTTGATGTTTCTGGGGGAAAGTGTCCCAGGTAGAGGTAACAGCAGATAATGAAATGGAACCTTGATTATGCATTTTCAAGGAATGCACAGCCAAGAGGCCAGTTTGGTTAAAACAGGGAGAGCGAGGGAGAAAGCAGTGGGCAATGAGCAGGTCAGAGAAGTAATGATGTGTGAAGTGAGAGGTGGGTGCTGGATGATGTCTGACTTATCTCAATGATGTCATGGTTAGAATTTTCAAGTAGTTTAACTTGAGAATAATTCAGCATCTTCTCCTGACTTAAAATACTAGGATGTTCTATTGTATTTTCAATGCCACTGTAATGCCAATTATAATATCTTACTTTAGCTTTTCATTTCTTAAAGTGGCTGGAGCAAATAAATCTTTACAGAACTTAAACATTTATATTGCAAAGTATATAATTTTGTGTCCTGTCAACAGATATTTGAACCCAGAATATGACAACAGTTGTTAAATCTTTTAAAACAAATAACCTCAAAGAAATAAAAGTATTAAGGGAAAATAATACAATTTATTATTTTATTAAAGTATTTCAATACTTGGAAACAATAAAGAGTACATTATAAATACAGCTACAAAATAAGTCAAGCTTCACTTGAAATAGAAAAGTTTACGTTATTTTAAAAGTATATCAGTGGAAACAACCACAAATTTAACTGCAAATGCCATTGTATGTATTGCAAGAATATAAAACTTTAAAATCTTCTGGTTTAAATTCTTAAATAACTACTGGGTGATTAAAGATGATCAAGATCCTTTGGGCAGAAAAATCAACTTTGAAAAATACGTTGCTTTCAGAGAGAGGAAGGGAGAGGGAGAGAGAGAGAGAAACATCAATGAGAGAGAATCATTGATTGGCTGCCTCCTGCACTGGGGACCAAGCCCGCAACTCAGGCATGAGCCCTGACCGGAATCCAACCATGACCTCCTGGTTCATGGGTCCATGCTCAACCACTAAGCCACACAGGCCAAGCTGCAATAACAATTTTCAAATACTATACTCCATATCCTCTGAAATCTTTAAGTTAATATAATGGTCTAAATTTTGTCCAAAGGAACTTCAGAAAAAGATTTCTTCAGTTTTCCAAAAATTTAAATATTTAGTGGTTTTCAGTTCAAACTATGTGACATCACAATCTTATATTAAAGCACAAAGTCAGCAAAACATTCAAAAAAATATTAACTTAAAATCAACAGAATTTTATTATATATTCCAGTACCATTTTTCTGCTCATCTTTCTCAAGTTGCTAGGAAGGCTCTATTATTTCTTTCCAATGTTTAAAAACAAATGATACTTTCATTTCCTCTTTCCTTTAAAAAATGGTAGAAAATTCTATTTTAATATAGAGGTTAAAACTCCTTAAAATATTATTCCCTTTCCTTCAAAACAGATCTATATTTGGTATACATTTTTAAATGTATAATACATGAAATGAATTATAATGGTAACATTCCTTTTTATAAATAACTAGAGGCCCAGTGCATGAAATTCATGCACTTGAGGGCGGTCCCTTAGCCCGGCCTGCACCCTCTCCCAGTCTGGGAGCCCTCAGGGGATGTCCAACTAAAGGTTTAGGACATCCTTAGCACTGCTGCAGAGGCAAGAGAGGCTCCCGCCACTGGCGCTGCTGCGCTCACCAGGCATGAGCCCAGCTCAGGGCTTCTGGCTAAGCAGCACTCCCCCTGTGGAAGTGCACTGATCACCAGGGGGCAGCTCCTGCATTGAGCATCTGCTGCCTGGTGGTAAGTGCATGTCATAGCGACCGGTAGTTCCGCTGTTTGGTTGATTTGCATATTAGCCTTTTATTATATAGGATCAGGTGTGACAGAATGACTTATATCCATGGGAAACACAATAAACATACTATATACATATTTCCCATCATTGCCTTCCATAGTACCCCTAATTTAAAAGAGTGAGTTACATTTGTTGATCTATTTTAGATATAGCAAACTACTATCATTTAAGATAAAATAAAACAGATGCTCAAAGCACTTCTGTAGATGATACAGAAGATATGAGCTTGCACCGTAACTAGATCACTACAGGCAACAGCTAAGCACACAAAATACAGACATAAGTAATACACTACGCATTATGAACCAGTTCTATTCAGGCTTCAGGTTACAACATTTAATGGCTGAAAACCATTTAATAGCACCTAGCAAAAGAAAATGTGTTTAAATAAATGTTTTCATGTGAATGGAAAAGGTTCACCTGCAAACCCTCAGCAATACTGACTACAGAGACGACATCAGTCTCATATTTAAGAGGATTCTGTCTGCCTTGGTTGGCTTCAGACAACTCACTGTAGGTTGATTACATTTATACTGCTTCTCACCAGAAGCAGAGTTCAGTTTTGCACGTGATAGCATCTTATCAAGCTATAAGCAATCTCGAAACATAATTTGCATTTATCACGTCTGTTTGCTCCTGGCAGCACAGGAAGGCCTACTTTCTCAAATGCACAGCTGTGCTCAATGAGCACTTTCCAACTTACATATGGCAGTATATTAGCTCTCTAGAATATGTATTTAAGAAGAGTCGACTTTCTTAATAAGATCTTAATGGCTATGATATTTTCTAAGTCATGAAAGGTTGCTTGAAAGCTATTGAATAAATCATTTTATAATTATATTAATTTTAAGTACATTTTATTTTGAATAAGTCAAAGAATATCTTTAAGCAAATTTATAATGTGGAGGTGAGCCTTGCCAGTAATGAGACTTTATTTTTAAAAAACAAACCATTCAAAGCCTCTGGCCAGAGGTAACATTATAAATAATTTTAGGCTTTCTAACAATATATTTAAAGTTTCTTATAAAGCCATAATCCTTGTTTCCTTAAAATATGTTATCTAGTAGGATATTGAACTAGAAAACAGATCATTGAACAAATGACAACTAAAAAACAAATTTTCAGTACAAAATGTTTTTCCACAGATCTAAGAAGATAAAAAAAATTATGCCTGGGACCCAAAAAACAGAATGCTAGGGACCCAAGATGAAAAACACACAATGCAAGAGACTAGATCACCTAATTAAAGAACCATAAGCTCACAATAATGTAAGAGAAAAAATCTACACAAAAACTTATAAATAAATGCAGGGTGTATAATTAAATTTTAAAAATCAAAATAAAAAGTGGGTACAAAAGGACATAAAAATTTTGTGAATACTGTAACCACTATGTAAATATTGTGTAAACCTTCACATTTTGGTTACCTCTTTTGGAAGGTTTACAGTATTGTTTGTTGTTTTTTTAATATATATTTTCATTGATTTCAGAGAAGAAGGAAGAGATAGAAACATCAATGGTGAGAGAGAATCATTGATTGGCTGCCTCCAGCACGCCCCCTAATGGGGATCGAGCCGGCAACCTGGGCATGTGCCCTTAACTGGAATCGAACCTGGAACTCTTCAGTCTGCAGGCTGACGCTCTATCTGCTGAGCCAAACCAGCTAGGGCACGATATTGGTTTTTAATCTTAAATTATTTATGAAGAAATTTATCTCCTTCTGAAATGGTAAGTCAAGTAGCATTTCAAGTTTTTTTCTTCCTGGATACAGTTGCTGGAATAGAAAAGTCTTTATCACTGATTTAACCTTCCCATGCTCTAACACAGATTTTTAAATTTAAGCATTTTTTCTTCTACAGAAATCAATTATTGGTAATACATTGTTATTCTCCCTTAGCAAATCAAAGAAGCGTTTAATTACACATTATAATACCAAAGAAAACATATAATTTTAAAAATTATTTATATGCTATCTCAGGACAATCAATTGACCTTCATTTTCACTAAAAAAAAAAGGCAAGAGAAAAGGAAGTTTTTATTAGTCTACAAAAAGGGGAAAGGTGGTTATAGAAGCCAATTCAGAAACTAGTTGTCCATCATCTGCTAGAATGTAACTCATGAACTGTTGTCTCCTTCTAATTCCTGTATTTTGTCAGACTTATTGCTTTCTTTGCCCTCTTGGTATGTACGGAGCTGTTCCATGAAGCCAGCATTTGGACATATGGAAGGCCTTGCATTTTTCACCAAAGAAAGAGCAGTGGCAAATGAGATTTCTTCAGAATTCATCAGGAAGCCTATCACAATTGCAGCTGCCCTGGAAACCCCTGCATTGCAATGGACTAGAACCACTCCATCCTGCAATAAAAATCAAACAAAACTCTTCATTATTAATTTAAGAAAGGTTATTAAATCAATAGTACATTCTTATATTAAAAATTATAAAAAACCAGAGGTCCGGTGCACCTATTTGTGCACACTGAAAGGAAATTAATTAGAAGGTGGCTGGCGGGGCAGGACTGGGTGAGACAGGCCAGACACACCCTGAAGCCAACCTCCTACAGTCCCTCCCCTCTGGCTGCACCTGTGGTGGCGCTGGGGCTTGAAGGGCATCTGCAGAGTGAGCGGGGTCCCTCTGGCAGGTGGGGTCCCTTGGCCTGGCCTATGGGGATCAGGCCAAAACCCGCAGTCCAACATCCCCCAATGGGTCCTGGAGTGCAAGAGGGCACTCTGCAAAGTTGCTGTCACTCAGCAGCTCCTGTGTTGAGTGTCTGCCCCCTGGTGGTTAATGGGCATCATACCTACTGGCCAGTTGGCCGGTTGGCTAGTCGCTTAGCCTTTTATATATATAGATATTCATTCTATCAATTTATTCAATTATCAAAATACAATTCATTGCAAGGAAAGCATGGAAAAACTAATCAATCGATCAACCAACACCTCCTCTTTCCAACTGCTAGGACTGAAGTGCTTTGATGAGGTCTTTGGAATTCTGAAACAGTATCCTTTGTTAAACTGAAATAATCCAGTAAAGTACACATAAAAGCTTAATGAAGAAAATATAACCATAAACTAAACAGAAAGCCTGAAATATTCCATGTACACATAGTGTTCCCATAAAGATGGTGGCATTAGTTTGGAAATCTCTGTGTAAAATGATCAGCAAGGAAAACAATTTTCTACCTTTACATATATTCTGGAGGGAAGTTGGACAGCAGTCTGGTGCTTGGAGGGGTTGAGGTGTAGAAGGATATGGGGGGCGGGGGGGTAAATGGTAATGGAAAAAATTAAATGTTAAAAAAAATAAACTAAACTTATGATGTAGTAAAATGACACAAATAGCTCATGACAATGTGAAGTAGAAAAGGTAACTAGACACCAGCCTGAGGTCAATAAATGAATAACGTTTCAAGTAGCTTGAAAATGATACTTTGTAAGTGAAAAGAGACACAGTGTAAGACCAATGCTGAGGGGGGTAATATTGCATTAATAATGAAGGTGATAGACCTGATGGAACAACACTGATACAGGTTGGCTTGTTTCAGGCTTTTAAAAAGTTAATGTTCTGAATGAAATGTAGTGAACTGTGGGACACACTACAGAACTAGACATTTTAGTTACTTAATTTCCTGATTCTTCTTGTGGTAAAAGATTGAAACAGAGGAAGGGGGAAAAACAAAACTTAGAACTAAAAACTCTCTACCCAAAGCATATATTAGCAATACTATGTTTATAGCTCATTGACTTAGTTTACTTTTGCAAAGCAGTTTTCTCAGATTCATAAATCCGTTGCAAAATTCCTTGCCTAGATCTGTTGTAACAAATTTGCAAGTGCATCTCATTTCAAGAAATCCAAGTGACCCACAACAAAATTAGTTAATATTTTGAAAATCCTCATATCAAAAAGACAATTTCAATTGTTTTCTTATCCTATATAATAAAAGGCTAATATGCAAAATGACCGAACGGTGGAACGACTGGTCACTATGATGCGCACTGACACCAGGGGCAGATGCTCAATGCAGGAGCTGCCCCCTGGTGGTCAGTGTGCTCCCACAGGGGAAGCACTGCTCGGCCAGAAGCTGGGCTCACAGGCTGGTGAGTGCAGCGGCAGTGGCGGGAGTCTCTCCCACCTCTGCAGCAGCACTAAGGATGTCCAACTGACCACTTAGGCCTGCTCCCCAAGGGCTCCTGGACTGTGAGAGATACAAGAAAAGCAAAGCACAGATATTCACTATACACATGTGAAACTTTTCTCACTTTGTACAATAGTTCATTTTGATGAGACTGAAGATAATCATAGTGTAATATCTGATAAAAATGTTCAAATGAACTTCTTTTTTAAAAATATGTTTTTATTGATTTAAGAGAGAGACAGAAAGGGAGAGGAGGGAGAAAGGGATGGAAAAGGCAGAAAGGAGATCATTAGACAAAATTCAATTAAACTGGAGTCTAACGTTAACTGTCATTAATATCAGGTGTTCCTGGAGAGTTAGCTTTTCTCTGTAAGTGCTTCTACATTCCCATCTGCTTATCTCACATAAAGTTTGTAAGGATTACATGCTGATTAAAAATGATGTCATTTCAGTCGAATTATGGGTAACAGCCAAAGCAGAAGCCCGGCCTGTCAGCGTGTTGACTTGGATCCAGTACCAAGATCAAAGTATTATACCATTAGTTGGTCTCTATAGCCGGAGACCCAATGAACAGCTTCTTTTTTTTTTTTAATATATTTTATTGATTTTTTAACAGACAGGAAGGGAGAGGGATAGAGAGTTAGCAACATCGATGAGAGAGAAACATCGACCAGCTGCCTCCTGCACACCCCCCACTGGGGATGTGCCTGCAACCAAGGTACATGCCCTTAACCGGAATCGAACCTGGGACCTTTCAGTCCGCAGGCCGACGCTCTATCCACCGAACCAAACCGGTTTTGGCCCAATGAACAGCTTCTTATCAGCATTTTCATACAATCTCGGAAAAGCAATACCCATTCAGTCCTTAGAGCACCCTAAAATTCTATTGTTAAAATGCACAGATTCACAATCCCTACTGGGCCACAAAAATAAATGCATATTAATTTTCATAAGTACATTAACAGGACTAGAGCTACCTCTATCCTACAGTCCACTTGAGTAGCTTACAAATTGATCAGTGGCAGGTGGGTTATTAAACTGTCAGAGGAAATCTAAGTACATATATACACGGGCATAGGAAGAGGAGAAATTAATTTTGAAAACAAATATATCATTGAGAAAAGAGCAATTAGAGAACTAAATAGTTGTAGGAATTCATGAAATATTGTTTCATAATGGTTCTTTACATATTCACTACAACAAGAATAAAAACTAAGTAATGGGCCCATATTTTAAAATTTCAGCTTCTGAAGAACATTGGATCAAAACCAAACTTACCTTCATTTTTGCTTGTTCAATAAATTCAAAACATTCTGGAAAATAGGACAGGATATTGGTTTCAGGCAGATCCAGTATAGAAATGCTCTTATATATAAAGTCACTGAGGAAAGCATTTTCAACTCCATATGCAACATTGAGAATATGAGTCACCTTAAAGAGAGAGAGAGAAAAAAAAGGATGATTTTTAAAAATTCTCATGAAGTAGGTTAATTAAAAAGAGGCTGGGATGTTGAGATTGTAACAAGAATACACAATTTAAGCATGAAGTGTACTTAAATAATATTTCCTCAAGAAAGCCTGATCTGACGCTTCATCCCTCACCGAGGTGCTATTTCTATATATTTTCACAGCACTCTCTACTTTTCCCATTATAACCCTTGTTTGTCTCCTTCACTGTATTAGAAACTCCACCAGGGTAGGGAGCATGTTTAGCTTACTCACTATTATTATTATTTCTTTAAATTTAAATTCTTCATTGTTTAAAGTATTACATGAGTCTCCTATTTCCCCCATTGTCCTCTCCCTGGCTCCCTCCCTCCCCCAAATATATTTTTATTGATTTCAGAGAGGAAGGGAGAGAGAAACATCAATGAGGAGAGAGAATTATTGATCGGCTGCCTCCTGCAAGCCCCCCGCTAGGGAATGAGCCTGCAACCCAGGCCCTTGACCGGAACCAAACGCAGCACCCTTCATTCTGTCCACAGGCCGACGCTCTACCCAGTGAGCCAAACTGGCAAGGGTGCTTACTCACTATTATAAGTAAGCATTGTGAATGAGCAGTGACCTTGGCACAGAAAGTACTTAAAATATTTGTTTAATAAGTCAATGGATGTCCCCATAAAAAACTTAAGAGAAGTGTGTCAGCAGCACAAACTTCCCTTTTGATAATTATTTCCTCTTTATAAGTACATGTTTCTCCAGTGTGGATGCACATTAGAATCACCTGGTGAGCTTTTAAAACTATCAAACCCAAAGGCTCTGATGAATTAGTGTGGGTGAAACATGGGGTGGCTATGACAGATTTGCTTTCAGATGGTTCACATAAGGAACCTCCTACTCCATAAATGCATCCAAGTCCCTTTCCTGGAGCCCACCAAGAATATGGAAGGAGCCACGGGAAGTCCAAATGAGTCAGTTTCTTGTCATAACATGCTTGTCATTGTATTTATTATTTCTTAGCGTATGTCTTAGTTTTTTAAAAAAATATTTAAAAATAAAAAAATAAAATCTTTTTATTGATTTCAGAGAGGAAGGGAGAGGAAGAGAGAGGTAGAAATATCAATGATGAAAATCATTAATCAGCTGCCTCCTGCAATCCCCCTCCTGAGAAATCGAACCTGAAACCCAGGCACGTGCTCTGACCAAGAATCCAACCATGACCTCCTGGTTCATCGGTAGATGCTCAACCACTGAGCAACACCGGCCAGGCAAGAGCAACGATTTTTACTGGAGGGTAGAACAAAGCGATTTGGGAGAGGCAGGGAGTATCGAAAAGAATGCAACCCTGCCTCTCACCCATGAAGTAAATGAGTGCTAGGCCCCTTTCTAGGTTCAGGAGATACAGAAATGAGCAAGGAGTAAGACCCTTGCTCTTAAAAGAAGATTTTGAGATGAGAATACATTCTCTGAAAGAATTCAAAGGAGGCAATGTGACGAGTTGGGAGGCGGCAACCTGAGTCAGGGTAGGCCTTTCTGAAGGTATTACTTTTCAACTGAGACCTTATGACAGAGCAGGCCATACTTAGTTCAGGGCAAGGGGACTGCAAGTTCAGTAATCTATTCCTTCTGGTCCCATAACACTTTGTTCTCCTATAGCTCTTCACATCTCTGCTTTCTATTATTATCCTCAGTAAACATATATATATATATATTTTTTTTTTACCTTGTGCTTTTTCAGTGTATCCAGGTCATGAGCAGCATCTTGTGACCCTATAAGAAATAAGTCATATCACCTTGAACATGAACATAATCACCCTGACTTTTTATCCAATTTTTGCAACAATTCTGTTATTTATTTATTTTAAAAACAACAACTTGGGAGGACCTCATTCCAACTTTCTGAAAGACAATTCGGTGATAGCTAGAAAAATATTCATCTGTGTATACGCTTGGACTGTGATTTCCCACTTCTAGGAATTTGTCCTAAAAGTTCTGGATGTTACAAAGATCAGCTCTCAGGATGTTCATCATAGTACTGTTTGTGATACCACAAAAATAAAGCAAAAACCCAATAATAGGCTGTTTTTAATCTAGGGTTTTTTTTAAAAAAAAAAAATCCAATAATAGGGATTGGGTTCAATAAAAGATGGTTCAATTGTGTAGTGAAATATAAACAGATATTAGATAGGGCATGGAAATATATTCCCAGTATATTAGGTAATAAAATCAGGTTATAATATACCATCATCCATTTTTGTAATAACAAAAAATGTGTATGCTTAAAATGGGACAGGAAATATACAGAACAAAATGTTAAAAGTGGGGTTACCGGTGATTTTTTTTCTTCTTTCTGCTCATTTGTATTTTTTACAAAAAAATATTTGTTTAGAAATTTTAAAAAAGAATATCTTTAAAAAGACTTAGTACCAGCTGGTTTGGGAGCACCCAGTAGATTAAAGCAAGCACTGTTGGTCTATAGAATTCCACCCACATTCTGTGCACCGCGAGCACTGTACCCTTTTACAGTTTCTTCCTGTCAAAGTTGCTTTCCAGATTTCCCACACTTGGAAAAGGACTCTAGTTAATAAGCAAATTCTTACAAGTGAATAACTCATTAAAATTAAGTGAAAAAATATATACAATGAAAAAATAGGATATTTACACACACACACACATTTACTTTCCTGAATTAGGTTTTATTTCCATAAACAATGTTTTTCTTACCTTACCTAATGGGGAAATCTGCCAGCTTCTATGACATGGTTTTAGGTAGCTGAAAGGCCAGTAAGTGGGCTGGTGGGTCAATATTCTCTTGGTAATACAAAGCTCACAGGCTCCTCACTGAGCTTTATTTTGCTTAAAAGTTAGCCTATCAAAATATTAACATTTGTTAAAGCTGAACGGTGGATACACAACTGCCTGTTATAGTATTGTCTGAAATTTTCTGTGCATTTGAAATAGTCCATAATTTAAAAAATTCTCAGCTCTCTATCAGAAGTCCTTACCATCTCCAGAGGGGGGAAATGGGATCAAAAGAATTAATTGAAATATGATGGTTTAACATGTATTGATTTTTTAAATAATAATTCTACTTTGACAAGTCCTTACAAAAAAGAAACATGCACTAGAAATTCTTTCCTATTTTCACCCTAAACTGTCATTATTATATTTATCAAAGCTGGATACTTTGATCATTTCCATCACACACACACACATACACACACACACACACACACCCCAAAAGGGAACAGGTCTATTATATTTCAGAGTTGTCTGCCATATTTTGAAAGTGACTTCCAGAATATGAGTATGTTGATACAAATTTAGTATCCTTTTTAAAAATATATATTTTTTATTGATTTCAGAGAGAAAGTGAATGTGGGTGAGAGAAAAACATCAGTGATGAGAGAGAATCATTGATTGGCTGCCTCCTGCATGCCCCACACTGGGGATTGAGCCTGAAACCTGGGCATATGCCCTTTTTGGGAACTGAACCAGTGATTCTTCAGTGCCCGGCTGAGCCACACCAGCTAGGACAAAATTTTTGACTTTTACAAATGAAGTTCAATTGAAGAAAAGTCCTTTAAAAAGTTGTAAAAATATAATCTGCAAAGCCTAGGACAAAGATTCTCACTAACATCTTTTAGCAACCTGTCAGATAGTTCAAGGGCCTATCTGAGATTTTTGAAAGGTAGAAGCTTGTTTGAATTTCTGAACTGACTGAAAAAGACAGGTTATATTTTTAAAAGACAGAATATATTTTAAACTTATATTTTAGAAAGACAGATTATATTTTATACAAATATATGCATTATATTTAGCTCTCCATTGTCTTTATTCTCTACCAAAAACAAAAGTTAATTGGCAGGTAGTGCTGGGTTGGAGTTGTGTAGTTTTGAAGAGGTGAAAGAAGCTGTTGGAGGCAACCTAGAAACAACCCCCATCTCCAGAAAGAAACCTAGTCTGGTCAGAAACCACCCCTGCATCATTCACGCGGAAGAACTGTAGATGTAACCATCCGAGGTCCCTCAGGAATGAGGCACTTGTAACTAAGCAGGAAAAGGTCCCGCTTCCTCTCAGAAGACAGAGGGCTGTGCCTGATGAAAAGATCCCATTTCCTGGTCCAGAGAGGGGACCACATAGGGTACCAGTTTCACAAGCCCCTCCAGAACTCTCCCAGGATCCTGGAAAGGATCCCAATGCCAATATGAGAAGACTACCTTGATCGTACCCTTGGATACGTCTAGATAAAAAAGTAATAATAAGCAAAATTTAAAATTCTCCAATAATGTTAAACCATTATTACCACAATGGAAGCCAAATAACTGAAAAATGTGCCTGGCTATATATCCTTTTGTAGGTGTGCAAGTCCTGGGTGAAGTTTCCAGACTAGCTAGATAAACCCACTTAATTTTTCACTGCTGCATAAACTAGCTGGAGATATTTATTTGGTGAACTTAAAGATACCTCATGTAACAATTCATACAATACACAACACAATCACAACTCATATGTATACTGCAATTGGTTTGTTTCAAAAATCTTCCACACACAAACAGATACACGTACAACACAAAAGCCCTTTTACAACAACCTCAGAACAACCCTATGAGAAAAGCAGATACCGTTACTTCAGCTTTACAGATGGCGTTTAGGAGGACCAGAGAGGATAAATGACTTGCACCAGTTCATCTAGTTAAGTTAGAGGCACAGCAGGGCTAAAAACCTGGACTCCCTGAGGCAGTCATCTATGTTCACAGAGAGCAGGAGTCAATCAGACTTGAGCTTGATGTCCAGCTATTAAATATTAGTGTTTTAACCTTGTGCAGGTTACTTAACTGATCTTCCATCCAGTTCCCATCTGTAAATGGAGCTGATGATCACTACTTCAGAGTTTTTAAAAGGAGTGAGATGCTGTGTGTATCTGGCTATTTCTAACTCCCAGGCCAGTGCTTTCACTCCACAATGGCTTGGCTGCATAAATATTGACAAATTATTCATCTTTCCAATTCTTAATTTCTCTATTCATAAATGAAAAAGAATTCAAACTAACTTGAAAAAATTGTTGACTATTTTTTAAGACTACTGTACCATATTCTTGCCAAGCTAACAAGTTTATACATTTATAACTGTGCTTCATTTGTTATTTGTGGACTAATCTTTGGATAGAAAAATCAGTATTTTCCATAATGCAAAAAGTCATAAAACCATCAGACTCATAGCTATAAAATAAAGTCCACCTTTTCCTTCACATTCTATAAACAGCCACCATGGACAGATGTGGTCACAGGAAGCATGCCTTCCTCATGGTTTGTAACAGCAGAACAGGCAAGCAAGCACTTGACTATTTCAAGTACAATTCTCTAACTTTAAATTCAAACTTGAAGTTTTTCCTAATAAAAGCATTTTTTCATTTGATTTTTAAAAACTATATCCTTTTATAATAACACCCCCCTCTACATTAATGTGTTATTCTCCAGAGTTAGAAAAACAGGAAGAAAGTTTTTCCTAAAATTCAAATACCAGGTGCTATGTGCTACTAGAATCTATACTTTCTAGGGGGGCAGACACTTGTCTAGCTCGCTGAGGGAAGTCCTGTGTCCAAAAAAGGAAACCTTTTAACTTTTTCGGCAGGACAGCTGATAATACAAACTATCAATCTATTAAGGTAAATAACGGTAAAATAATATGATCAAAGGACTCAATGACAAATCGATATACTCACCCAGGAGCAACCATGGCTTAATAACGCCAACTTGCAGGTCCAAGCTAAGATCCTGCACATAACCACAACCACCCCCACTGCTCGGCTCTACTTCTTCCACAACATGAATTCTGGCATCTTTCCACGTTTCTATAATTTTCTTTCCAGTTAGCGTTGTCACCCTGGTGCATTGCTTCCTGAGATTATTCCGGGAGAATGCTTTAATTTCCTGGTTAAGGGAGTGCATTACATGAGCGGTGACTAGGAACAAATACAAGCAAACCCCGCCAGCACAGAACAGGGCTGGACTGCTCGTCCCTTAGAGCTCAGGTAACGAATGCAGCCCCGGGAGTGCACGGCCCTCCAGGCGACCAGGCAGCATCACCCGGGAGACTGACACTTCCGGCTCCTTTTCCCCGGCGCCTCGATGTAAGACAAACTGTGACTGGCCTTTGAGAAGCGGGCGCCGATTGGGTGCCCGTGTCAACGGAAAGCCAGCGTTTTTCCTGGTCGGGTCAAGCAATCCGCCAGTGTTCTCTTACTGCCGCTGTTTAAAGCTAGCTTTATTGGTCACGCAGAATGGCAAAATGTAAGACTTCATTGGCGAGAGGGCTGGTATTTCGAGCTCTTTAAAAGCAGTGATTTTCGATCTAGGTGGGCGGATGTCACTGGTAGTGAATGATAGGGGTTGACCTGGGCATTGCGCCCGTTTTACAGTGCAAACCCCCCTGCTTTTAGGCTAATCTAGGGGGGGCTACTTTCCAGTGCAACCCCCCCTGCTTTTAGGCTAATCTAGGGGGGGGGCTACAGCAGACATTCAAAGTTTTTCTCACTCTCTGTCCTTCATACTTCCTCTTGTTGCTGTTACTGCCCAGAGGAACGTTTACTACATTAAAAACTATTCGTGAAATAACAATTTAAATCCGCGAAGATATTTTTATTTAAAGTTTTTAAATTGTTTCTGTATGCAGATTGACAAGAGCTTGCACATATATTTTCTGACTTCCCTCCTACATTTTCACCATCAGTAAAATTGCCGAAGAGCCTTTTATGTAGTAAATATATACACACACTATAAGAAGCATTGCAGCAAGGCCTTCCACAGAGTTGCAGAAATTCAAGCTTGCATACATCCACATTTCCAAAAACAATTATAGAATGATGATTCTGATTGCAAAAGGATGATTTCTTTTTTTCTGCAAAAGAAATCGCAAGATTCCTTTGGAATTTGCCTTTCCCCACAGTGGATTTAATGAAAACATTCTCCAACACTACACATGAAAATTTTTGTTGGGCTGAAACTCTCTAATGTAAAAATAAAATAAATTTCTCCCGATTGAAAAGAATGATACATCAATCAGCCCGGGCTATCTACAGGGCACACGCTAAAATGATGAATTGAACAATTTATTTGCATAATTTAAACAATCACAGGTTCATAAAAAACAACTCTAACCACAAATCACTCCATATGTTTATCATAAAAGAAAAAAATGATGACCAGCTATTGAGCTAGGCATGGTGCTTATAAGTAATTTTTACATTGTCAGTGTTACCCATCTGGTGTTTAATGATGCTTTATATACATCTCACACAAGCCTATTATGTATTTACTATTATAATCATCTACATTTTACAACTGAGAAAATTCAGATGCAGAGAGAGCAAATAACATACCCTACATTACCCTGCTCATAAGTTTATAACCACAAATAATGCCTAGGTTTGTTTCAGTGCAATGCCTTAGCACCGGAAATTGAACCGGTGACCTCTTGGTTCCTGGGTCAACGCTCAACCGCTGAGCCACACCCGGCTGGGCGAAAAATCTTTGTCTTTTGTGGAGTTTATATCCAAGTGGAGGTGGTAGATGGACAGACGGTGAGTGTGTGTGTGTGTGTGTGTGTGTTTGCGCGCGCATCCACATTAAGTCATGATTTAAGTGCTAAAAAAGAAAAACTGTGAAATAAGGGAACAGACTGAATGGACAGTGTGCTATTTGCTACAGGTTAGTGAGAGAAGGCCCCTCTGATGAAACAAATTTTGAGCAGATACCTGAATAAAGTGAAGGAGCCAGCCCTGTAGATATCTGTGGGGAAGAACTTTGCAGACAGAAGAAATAGCGAGTGTTGGAGATAGGAGTATACTGGTGAGAGGTAGGAGAAGGGGAAGTTCAAGAAACTTCCAGGTCCCTAATGTGGCTTGTGGGGGTGAGTGAAGGGAAGGGTGGTAGGAGATGAGGTCAGAGAGAAATGATAAAGACTTTGGGTTTATTCTGAGTGAGATGGGAAACAACTGGAAGGAAATGGGTAGCATGGATCCTGTGTTGTACCACCCAGATACTCCCTGTTGTTTGGGAGTGCTTTTGCCTTGCAGAGGGATGCTTTGCGTGAGGTTGTGCCCTTTGCAGGAGAGGCCACATGCATGAATGATTGATGAGGGAGCATAAAGGCCTGGCCATCTTAGCCCAACTTGAATCAGCTCTGAAGGGCCATTCTGACCCTCGTCCAGCACAGCTAGGAATGAACCTGAGGAGGGGAGGTGAAGGATTAAAGAAAACAGACAAGAGAATACAGGTGGAACCAGGTGGATCACTGTGCCTGGATGAGGAAACAGTGACACAGCCTGTAAGACGAAGCTTTATTTTATACTCAGATCACACAAAGCAAAACAAGGGCAAGATGTTTACAATGTTCTTGCCAGTTTCAAATCTGCTTCTTTCCTGTTGCTGCCATTCTCTGAACTCTACCAAACCTTGTTTTGGCAGCACTTGCTGCACCCCCGCCCCCCGCCCCCTGGCAGCCCACATCCCTTAGCTACCTAGGCCTCAGGGTCTGACTATAAGGTAAAGCTTACAACCATAGCAGTTTGGCTATAATTCTGCTGGGGACTTTGCCCTCCAAGCTGGGACTTGTATGTGGCTTTGCCACAAGTTAGTCTAAGGCTTGATCCTGTCTGGACACTGTAGCCACTCTCCACACCATTCTAGTTCTAAAGTCCAACATGCGGTTGGCCAAGCCTGTCATTGGGCCCGTATAACCTCCTGAATTCTCCGTTTGACCAATCCAGACCCTCTCCTCCCTTCCACATATATTGATCCCAAGGACACTCCTTAAAATAGTTCTACATGCTAAATTCTACTTCAGTCTGCTTCCAGGGAAACCCAGTCAATGACAAGTGACATGATACTATGCTTATGCTGCAGAAAGATCTTTCTGGCTGCTGTGAGGAGATGGGGTAAAATGGAAGCAGAGAGATTTGTTAAAAAATACTAGAATTGCAAAGATGGAAAATG